AGGAGAGATGACCAGTCCTCCACACCTCCAGCATACCGGTCTTCGGCCCGTCACAATGACCGGTAACTTCAAGCTACCAACATCCAGACAGTTGGGGATGGAGCGAAAGGCTTTCTCGTCCAGCATAATATCAAAGCTCCACCCCCCACGCTCAAGGTTATCGCAGGAAGCTCCCAGAATTTCGCCATACTGGGAGATGTTCCCCGATAACCTGAGGAGGGACCTCGTATACTGCTACAGTGGTCCTTCTTCGGCCTTCGTCCGCAGTATCAATTCTTTAGTTATTAGCTCGCGGCTAGCCGCGGCGACGCAGTCTTCCGATGTGGGCAACAGTACGTCCCACATGAAAAAATTTAGCTCCCTTAACTATTCTAAGGGGCTTAAACCTTAATGACTCTAGTGCTTTTCAACACTGTGTTTTTCGTCGGGCGACAAATTTTGCGCGTACGCTTGTCCACGACGAAAACGACACTATCTTTTCTCAATTTTCTTCAATTCTTGGGGTCTTCTAAGAGTCCACCTTCTACAACAAGGTGAGCGTAACTCTTGGCACGCTCCAAGAACTCCGCTAAATTGATTATGCACTTTGGTGGAGACGACCAACAAGAGGGCGATTCCCCGGCCTCAGGCTTATCTTGAGGGTCATTTCTGGTCTTTTTCCTTGTTTTTTGAGAATTTTGGCCATTATTGGCCTCCGTAGATTTTTTTTTTTCCTTGTTATTGCCATTATTGGCCTCAATAGCATTATTTTTTTTATTTTTTCCCAGCGGTTTCATCGTTGCTAGGGGAAGTAGGCTCAAGTGCTGGATATTCATTTACATTGTCTTTATCCGGGGGGTTCTTTTTTGGTGGGGTTAAATAAATGCTTTCGTATCGCCTTTCTATAATCAGACAAATTTGGCTTTTTTTTATGGCTAAAAAAGAAGGTGTTTTTTTTTTCTTCTTTTCCATTTTTTAAATATTAAGAAGGAATGGGAGGGGTAAATACGGGTGGGAACCGCCTTATAGGCGGAGAAAAAAAAAAACACAAAAGCTCACCCGGAAGCGGGACAAAGCAAAAATAAAAAACACGTACAATAAATATTATATAAAAAAAAAATCGCCTAAAAGGCGAAACAACAAAAATTAAAAAAAACTAAAAAAAACAAAAAAAAACGCTTAGACAAAAAGGAAAACAAAGAAAATACGAAAATATGCAAAATATACAGAGCTAGTTATAATTTAACAAGATGGCCGACACCAAAAAACAAATAAACAGTAGAAAATAAATACAAAAACGTCAGAACAAAATAAATGGACAAATATATGGACAAATAAACAGTAAATAAAGGTTAAAAAATTAAACAAATATACAAAAAATACAAAAAAAAACACGCAAAACTTAAAAGATATTAAAAGGAAAGAAAAAAAGAATTATTAACGTACCGTCAACGCAACAACGAAACACAGACAGGGGTTACAGAACAAACGAAAACGGAGATATAATTAAAGGAGAAATTAGAGAAAATGAAAAGACAGAAAGGAAATCTAAAATAAAAGGGTTTTTACACGCAGAACGAAACATAGGCCGAGTTTGAAAATAATCCGAACTTCAGAAGAGAAAAAGCAACAGCGAACCTTTGATGAAATTTGTTTGGCTATTTTGTCACATTTGTTACCAATCCAGGGAAATCTAAGGTAAACAGGGCATTTTTGACAGTGTAGAGATCGGCACTTTGAACTCTTCAACTTTACTGGCGGATAACTGAATTAACAGTATCAAGAGGATAACCCAAATTACATAGGGTATCCTAATAAAGTTAATTTCGTCGTTCAGGAAAAGGCTCAGAGCAAATCTTTAATGCTCTGTGGAGGAGGGTTTTGATAATGTTGATCTTGTGCTTAGTGGGACAAAAAAAGTCCCAACGCGTGTATAACCCTGCAAAAGTAGGTTTTCTATAAACGGAAGTAAGAAACCTGTTAACGTACGATGTACTAATACATCCAAAAAAAGCCAATTGATGATTAGACTCTTTTTTTCGATAGTGAACCTTAGTGCCGGATGGATACCATTTAAAAACGAAAGAAACTGGTCAGCTTCAACTTCACCGTTAAATAAATAAAAAGGTGTCATCAACATACCGATAGTACAGTTGAGGACAAAGTGGATTCTTTCGCATCTTTTCTTCCTGGAAGCCAACAAATATGTTAGGCAAGTGATGGACCCAAAGGCGATCCCATAGCGACTCCGTCGATCTGTCGGTACATAGTGTTGTTGAAACTAGATTCGACCGGATGACGTGGCAAATCTCATCAATAAGAGAAAAATATAAAATTTGATGAGATTTGCCACGTCATCCGTCGAATTCAGTTTCAATAACATGTAAGACGTCACGAGCTGCGACGCGATTTTCGCTTCGCGTCTCGTACACAAGTTAGTGTTGCTTTGAAATTTTCATAAAAAAACAGACTATCATTATGCCGTTTTCGTCTGTGTATTGGTTGATATATTGAAAAGTAATTGTCATCTTTGATAATGGCTTATGCATGTAAAAGCTTAGATTGGATTAAAAACATGTATCAATATGGCGATTTCCTTTCATCTTTCAATGATAAAATTATTGCTTATCAGACAATATGAAAGGAACGCCCTTAAAAATAAATACACAAAAACTTGTCTATATTTATTTAATGAAACATGCATTAATGAAAATTACTGTTTATATATTATTATAAGTTTTTTTGAGTGAGGCTTTTATTCGTACTAAGTCGCGTCCTACAATAGGTTCGACGTACAAAACGTTAGAACTTGAAATAATAATTAATGACGCAGCAATCTAGTTGTAATGGTTTTGATGCTTTAATGTCCAAACATCTACTGATTCACCAACTCACTCAGATCCCCCTGTTGACTGCTACTACTACTACTTATTATATGTGGAGAGTCTATTAACAATAGAATAGGTACACTTCATATAACATATATATATATATATATATATATATATATATATATATATATATATATATATTTCACTATGTGTGTGTATGTGTATTTCTGTGTGTATCATCCAAACATGTTTGGTTGAACATTACCGATGGCCTTGTTCATAGCTGATATTATTGAGTGTTGTTTTTTTTCTTTTTTTAATAATCATTTTTTAAGAAAAAGCCAACTCTCAGTAATATAAACTATGAACACGGCCACAATGTGCTGACCGTGTTTGGAAAATAAACCATTCCTGTAACTCTAGATACACACATAAAACAATGCATATATTCATTAAAAAGTAAAATAAAATTCATCCTTGATAATAGCTAAAAGTATATCCGAAAGCGCTTCGGAGTCATTCAGACAATTTTTATATAATTCATATTCTGTAAAATAAAAAAAAAATTATACGAACACATAAGAAATAATATAAAAGCCTGAACCACTGCACTTTGTTAGCGTTTTCAACGAAGTTTGCATATATATATATATATATATATATATATATATATATATATATGATGTGTGTGCGTGTGTGTTTATGTATTTGTTGGGATCAAATACAGATCAAATATAAATCAACCGGACAGAATGATAGAAGAAGGAACAAATAGGAAAGGTTTAACATGTTGATCAGTGACATGTTCATTAATTAATTATAGCTAAGGATTAGAAGCTCATGAAGGATTGAAATAAAGTTCAAATATATATTATTCTAGGATCATTTTACAACTTATTCAAGATGATCTTTGCCCTCTCTAACCTTCAAACTTTCTGTTCTGGTGTAACAAGCTGCCTCACATGTTTCACGTACGATTTCATTTTCAATTATTTTCACTGCTCTTTGGACTTTCATAGCTGAAACTCCTCTCTCATGTGTCAAACATTTTATGGATTGAGTTGGATCTTTTCTAATTGATCTTTTTAGCTCTAAGTTGAAATGATGATCCCTCTTCCTGTTGTGACTTCCTGATCCAGTTTTCTTCTCTACTGTTCCCTCTTTTTTGAACTTATTTACCGTTCTCTTGATGGTTCTTGAATAGACTTTGAAGATGGAAGCCAGAGTATGAATGTTGGTACCATTACTGAAGGCCTGAATGATCTTTTCCCTCTCATCATTGCTAATTTGGGAAAAACAGTGAGGCTGATACAAAACGATTTTAACCTGTTCTCTTTCTAGCTAAATATCTCAAAGGGTTTTTCAGTAATTCTTACGAAAAATGGTGTCAAGATGGCTAAAAGTCTTATCTGAAGACCTGGGAAAAAGAAACTCCATTAGTTTAGTGTTTTTTTATTTTATTTTATATATTAAACATTTTGTGGGATGGATAATTATGCAGTTAAACGACTTGTACAATTTTGCTGTTACACCTAATATATATATATATATATATATATATATATATATATATATATAGAGAGAGAGAGAGATAAACAGACAGACAGACAGAAACTGAGATAGGGACTTGGGGGAATATCCACCGCTTAACCCAGAAGGAATTGAAATATTTTCAAGCTTCTTCATTTTATTTGATTTTGGTAAGTAGGTCGGGCTGAGAACTTTTCACCATCCCATTCGTGTATATCATATTGATGCCTTTTTTTGTGACTATTTGATTTCTTATGAATACATTTTCAAAAATGTTACCCTGTCTTAATCTTGGAAATATCAAAAAGCGTTTTGTTCCTTTGAAATAAAAATAAAGTTAGAACTAAATTGCCGAGGCGTTCGATGACAGAGCTATCTCTTGATCAACAAGAGACGATGTCTAAAAGTCATTGAATACGCCCTCGATGTTGATGGCTTTTCAACAACGGCAGGAAAATCAGAAAGAACAAAAGACAAAGCAGGAGAATAGTTAACGATTTCTAAAAGTGTTTGAAATAAAAGAAAACAAAGGCTGTGTTTATTTGTATTGGAATGGTTAATGGTCCGGCTGGGTTGAGTTCACTGCACACGATTAGAGGAACAAAAGGGCTCAAAGGAGAACATAGTTGCAAATGGATATTCCTACGAGAGTACAGTGAAATGAACATGCGCCTTCGAGACTTTACGAGACTTAAAAAGAGAGACGTCTCTTCCTACGTCTATTCATAGATATATATCTATCGATCTGTCTGAGCCCAGTCCTCTCAGAGTTCAGCCATATCTGTCTACGTTGGTTTGGTCTTATCATTTGCAATCTATTATATATTAATTGTTATAACGATCGAAATATCCAAGTTTATCTCAGTGTGATCACGTCTCTCTCGCCATTATTATATTACTACGCTTGTTTCAGGAGATCGATCCCCATTTCTTTCGTATCTATTCTTATCTAATTATCGATCACCGTCTTTTTTATGTAGCAATGTTTCTCTCTCTCTCTCTCTTTACTTCCCTCCTCATTTCCTTGCTTCCTCTCTGTCTCCCCTCTGTCTCCCCCTCCCTCTCTCTAAGTGTGTTCATATTTATCACTCTGAATTCAGAAGAGTTACAAAGTGAGGATGCCGATTATCTCTCTCTATGAAACGTTCTCAAGGCCAAACTATCTATCTATCTATCTATCTATCTATCTATCTATCTATCTATTTCAGTCGGTTCATAATCTTGGTGTTTGAATGTCTTAGGCTCTTAATATGTATGTATGTTTGTATGAATGTATGTATGTATCTTAATCCGTTCATATTTATCTATATCAATATATTCATATCTATGTATCTATCTTACTCTGTTCATATCTATCTATCTATCTATCTATCTATCTATCTATGAAATATTTTCGTATCTATCACATTCTCTTTCTCTCTCTCTTGCTCTTTCAAGATATCCATTTATCCTTTTTTCTTTCTTTCTTTCTTATTTTCTATCTATTTAAAAAATATGTTCGTATCTATTTCTCTCTCTCTCTATCTATCTATCTACCTCATTCTCTATTTATAAAATCGTACACATAAACACACACACACACACACATATATATATATATATATATATATATATACATCAATCTATCTATCTTGTTATCTTTACAATATTTTTCATAGCTATCTCATTCTTTTTCCTTCCCAGTCTGTTCATCTATCTTATTATTTTGCTTCCTTTCTTTCTCTTTCTATTTACCTATTTTAATCCGTCTCTCTTTCTCTCTCTCTCTCTCTCTCTCTGTTTCATTATCTATCTATAAAATATGTGCACATCTCTCTCTCTTTATACATATACATACATACATACATGTGCGCACACACACACACACACACATATATATATATATATTTATATATGTAGAATTTAGGTATTTTCATCATATTTCCTATATTCCTTAATCCATAGATGCAGTTTTTCTCATCCCAACTACTATTTTATGTTCACTCTTTGCCAGTCTAATCCGAGTTTTGTCTGTGGAAATAATCTGGAATCTTTATTTTTGTGCCCATCTCTTCACGTCTTCTCACTTTGATTTCTTTAAGTTTTTCATATTTGTAAGCAACATGCATATTTCCCCTCTCTTTCTTCTCGTACACGCCTCTTTTTACTTTAACGCAATTTTTCTGACTACCAGACTCGCCTCATTATTATTAACTCTTGTGTCGTTGTAACTTGTTAGCAGTAGTTATATGTTTAACTTGGAGATTTAGCTACATTTTTATCAATGTCGCTAGTCGTAGTGTTTTCAAAGTTGACAGAACTTTTAGTCTATTTATTGAAACTAAATTAGGCTTACACTAACAAGATCTTTAATAATAACTATATTGCATTGTTTTGATATTAATATTTAAAAAAAAAGATTATGGTATTCCATTGTACTTTGAACTGTTATATGTTAAACACTGAATTGTTGAGTTCATAAATCGATCTTTGGATTGTTTTAGTCCGTGTGTAGACACTGTCGAAAGACAAAATGACGAATGGTAAAAATGACGAAGAAACAAAGTGGCGAATCGACAAAATGCCAAATGGAAAAAGAGTTGAACTAAGTAACGAATGGTCAGAAATGTGTCTACAATAGAATACCTTTTACTTAGCATGCTAGAAACCCGCCGGAAAATAATTATCCGATGAAAAAAAAAAGAAGAAGAAATAAACTTTCTCCATAACTGCTAACTTTTTGAACAAGGACCTGAATTTAAACTACAGTAAAGAGTTAACATTTTTATTTAAGAGAAATTGCAATTGTAGTAAAAATAAAAATAATTTCGGCTGAAATTCATAAAGATTTTCCTTAAAACTATTTTCCAGAAAAATAGGTTTCTTAAATCTTGTAAGTACTGTTGCTTTTCCGAATCCTGATGGTGAATTTCCTAGCTAACCTTTTGTTTGAAGTAGTGTTGAACGTCAACATCTTATGTCATTATTTTTTTCTTCAAGTTACATGGGCTATCCATTTGACTTGTTGCTGAAAGCCCTCAAGTGATGTGGTTTCTGTTATTTGGTACAGTTCTTTGTTAGTGATTGTGTAGCGCCAGTACATAAGGTCTGAAGAAGGCAGAGAAAGACAAAACGACAAATGGACAAAAATGTCGAACAGACAAAGCGTTGAACGGACTAA